CTGGCAACGGCGACGACGACGACGACGACGACGACGTCGCCGCCGCCAGCAAACAACGCGGACGACGACGACAACGACGACGACAGCGGCGGCGGCGGCGACGACGCCGCCGACGACGACGACGACGACGACCACGCACGACGACGCACGACGACGACAACGACGACGACGACGACGACGACGACGACGACAGCGACGACGACGACGACGACGACGCACGACGACGACGCACGACGCACGACGACCTCGACGACGACGCTGACGCCGACGCCGACGAGAACGACGACCACGACGGCGAAGGCGACTTGTCCTCCTGTTCATCCTCGCGGTTCCGCCTGATCCGCCGGCCCGGCTCTCGAAGAAGCTGCCTCCACCGGCACACCCCCGACCTGCGGCCCCAACGCCGAGAGGCCTCGCTGGCAGGGCAGACCTATCGCCTGGCTCGCTGGGCTCAACCCCCGCAGTCCCTGAGATCCGACGTTGCGAAAAAATGGCAACATCGCGAAACATCACGCCTGGAGCCCTAGGCACCATCCTTTCTGCGGCATTTTTCGGGCGGATCGATCTGTGATGGCCCTGGGGCCCGAAACAGGGCGGCAGCATCGCCCCTGACGGAAAGATAATCACGCCAGGATCTCAGGGGTCCTTAAGACCCAGGCGTCGCATTTGTTTGACGCCAGCTGTGGTTCGCCCGGCGCATAGACCACATGGGATGCACACAACAACCGCAGAGACTCTTCCATAATGCCCCCCCCCCCCCCGCCCACCCCCTGCAAGCTCTCGGCTGGGAATCGTTCCTTCCCTCCTCGCTCCTCTCCTCTCGCCCTCCTCCTCGCTCTCCCTCCTCGCCCTCCTCTTCGTGCTCCCCTCCTCTCCTCCTAGGCGTTCTCGGGATCCCCTTAGGATTCCGCAGGAATCCTTGGGATTCGTAGGATTCCTGAGGATTCCGAAGACTCCCTTCAGATTCCTATGAATCCCTGAGGATCCTAGGGGTCACTGTGATTCCTTAAGAAATTCCGAGGGGTTCTAGGATCCCAGAAACTCCTTGAAGACGGCGGAGGCCTCAGCAGTGGCCGTCGCGGGAGGGGAATTCGTTTCCCAGTATTGTTTCCGATCCCAATCCGTCAATACTCCCGTGTGGAAAGTAGTTCCCATAACAAAAAGGGGGTCCATTAAAGAACTTCCGAGGTCATGCACATACGCCGCCTTTGCCTCCTCCTCTTCCTCCTCTCCTCCTCCTCCCCCTCCTCCTCCTCCTTCTCCTCCTCCTCCTCCTCCTCCTCCTCCTCCCTCCTCCTCCTCCCTCCTCCCCCTCCTCCTCCTCCTCCTCCTCCTCGTCCTCCTCCTCCTCCCTCCTCCTCCTCCTCCTCCTCCTCCTCCTCCTCCTCCTCCCCCTCCCCCTCCTCCCCCATGGCGCTGATTCGCTTTTAGGGCTAATCTGCACCGCTCCATGATCCATTCCTGCAGCCCGCGCAGGGCGGAGTGACGAGTGGATTGGCTGAATGATCCTCGCGCCCTCCCCTTTTCGCCTCCTCCTCCCTCCCTCCAGCAGAGACTGTCGTTCGCCCAGGGCGCGATCGCCCCGTGCCGGCCATGAGCGTTGTGGCCACAGGCGGTGCCTGCGGCGGCGGCGGCGGCGCCGAGGGCGCTTCCTCGGCGGCGGCAGCCTCGGCGAGACTCCCCGAGGCAGCCCGGAGGAGGGCCGCACCCCGGCGGTCGGGGCGCAAGGGCCGGGGGGTCGATGCACACGGGAAAGGAGGACGCACGCGTAATAACATGAATCCACGCTGGTTTCGAGAGTGCGCATTGCGCAAATGTTCGTGTCACGCGGCCAGTCTCGCGGATCGAGGAGCCGGGTTCATGTGCGTAGCTGGGCGCGAACGCTGTTTGTGGGCTCCCGAAGTCAGAGCGCCAGATCGTGCGGGATCCTGCGGAGCCAGGGGTGCACTGACCCAGGCTTGCGTGCAGAATCCTGCAGGGTCCTCCAGGGCCTGACTGACCCGGATCCTCCCTCCTCCTCCTCCTCCTCCTCCTCCTCCTCCTCCTCCTCCTCCTCCTCCATCCTCCTCCTACTCCTCCTTCCCCTCCTACTCATCCTCCTTCCTCACCCCCCGTTTCCCTCCTCATCCTCTCCTCCCTCCCTCCCTCCCTCCCCCTCCCTCCTCCCTCCTCCTCCTCCTCCTCCTCCTCCGCCTCCTCCTCCTCCTATTCCTCCTCCTTCTCCTTCTCCCCCTCCCTCCCTCATCTTCTCTCCTCCTCCTCCGTCCTCCTTCTCGGAGATCTACTGACCCGGGTCAGTAGATCCCCAAGGCGGTCGGCCCCCCCCCCACCCCCGGAGTTGCGGCGAGGTTCGTTGTTCAGCCTCGGCGGAGTGTCCTCGATGTCGGCCCTCGGGGGCCGTTTGTCTTGGCCTCCAGGTGGGGTCGGCTCGAGGGAGGGGTGCAGATAGGGTCGGAGGACCGCGCAGCATCGCCGATGCATCGCCGAGGCGGCTCGATATGGAGACCGACTTTCCCCACGTCGACGGCGCCGATGCATCGCCGATGCATCGCCGATGTATCGGCGATGCGGCGCGACCTCATTGCTCGAACCCCATCTGATAGGCTTCTGGTTGGTTGTTTCCTCTCGGCGATTCTTCTTCGATGTCGGCCCTCGGAAGCCGCTTTTGGGCACCAGGGCAAATCCAGAATGGATCAAGGACGGGAAACTGCCCCTCAGGGAGGCGGTTCGGATTTTCGTCGTCGGCGGCGAGGCAGTGGCAGTCCGCATCAGTGCGGGGCTAATCGGGGCAACCGATGGGCAAACTGACCGGCGTGCAAGAGACAGAGATAGAGAGAGAGGGACGAAGACGAGGGCGGCCGCGCGAGGGGAGGAGGAGGAGGAGGAGGAGGAGGAGGAGGAGGAGGAGGAGGAGGAGGAGGAGGAGGAGGGCGCTCAGACGTGGAAGAGTTCCGCGGTCGAGGCGTTCGGGACACCTGGATTTGACGAGCAGAACCCCCTCGGCGGACGTCTGGGGCCCTGCGCTCCTTCCGTGCCTATGTAGTTATACAATCTACATCGGGGCCTCGCCCAGGGGGCGTCTCGCCGCCGCGGCGGGACCCGCACTCTCAGATCACTTGGGCACCGGATTTTTCGGTGCAGCGGAAGCCGACGCCAAGAAACACCCTGCTTGCCTCCAAGGTGCCCTGGGTTTCTTGGGCTTTGATGGTTTTGCTGTGGCCCGCCGGGGCCCCCCTCTAGTCGCCGAGCGCGGTGCGGCAGTGGCATCTCGCGCGCTCGCGTGTCTGCCCCCCCGCGGCCCCCCGAAAAGCCGCGCACCGAAGGTCACTCTTTCCCATGATGGGCCTGTTTTCCACCACCACCAGAAGTTGGAGGGGGGAAGGAGGTGGAGGAGGAGGAGGAGGAGGAGGAGGAGGAGTAGGAGGAGGAGGAGGAGGAGAAGGAGAGGAGGGTAGGAGGAGGAGGAGGAGGAGGAGGAGGAGGAGGAGGAGGAGGAGGAGGAGGAGGAGGAGGAGGACCCCCTCCCCCTCCTTACTTGTGGTGATGGTGGTGGTGGTGGTGGTGGTGGAAAACAAGCCCACCATAACCAGGATCACTCCTTGTGACTTCTCGAGAAGCTCGTGCGTCCAACGGCCAGGGTCGGGGGGCCCGGTGGCGTCCCCCGATCGCCGAGCGCGAGAAGCGGCGGCAGCGGCTTGCGCGCCCCTGTTTGGCCCCCCCGTGGCTCTCCAAGACGCCTCGCACCAGAGGCTACTCGTTACTCCAGATTTCGTAATAAAAGGGAGGGGGTCTGGACCCTCCAAGACAAGCCATTTCAGACCCCCCCGTGGGAGAACCCTCCAAAACATCGTCCCCAGACCCCCCCAGGCACTCCAAGATAGCCTGGAAGAGAGCCCCCCCGAAATGAGACCCCCCTCCCTTTATTACGAAATCTGAAGTACTCTTACCCAGGGCGGCTCCTGCGTGCGTGTAGTGGAAGAAAACTCTTTTGCATCCAGTGGCCAGGGTCGGGGGAAAGACAGGCCAGTGTGGGCCCTGGGTTTGTCGGCGGCGAATGAAAAGGGGGGAAGTGAGACGGAGAAGGCCCCCTCAGAAGCCCTGGCGCCTTTCTGAGAAGCCCTTGCGCCTTCTCCGAAGGCGGCGGGACTTCTCCGAAGCCCTCGCGCCTCCTGAGAGGTCTTGTTCCGCGTGTCTTCGCGGCAGGCCTCGAAGACTTCCCAGAAGGCCTTGGGCACTTCCGAGCCTTCCGAGGAGGCCTTCTCCTTCTCGCTTCCCTCCCCCCTTGCGCTCGCCGCCGACTCTGGGAATCCGCGGGGGCCGCTGTGGAGCACCGACCTCCTTGCGGGGCAGGGAAGTTGCCCGCAGCGGAGCCTCTAAGCTGTCGGATCTGGACAGAACCCCCACCCTGACGCGTCGATTAGTGAATTGTCCGTCTTCGGTTCTCGAGAGGGCGCCGCGGCCGTCATGTTCCAGGCTTGTGCCCGCCAGGTCTGGGCCCGAGGTCGCTTTCACGAAGCCACGTTTTGCTAAAGGGGGCTCTGTCCATCCCCGAAGCTGCCCCTCCGCAGAGAGAGAGGCCCTCCCTCGTGGCGGCCGCGAGAGGCCGGGCTTCCCGGGCCCCTGCGGGGCGGGGCGCGGGCCCAGGGGCGTCGGCCGTCGGCCCCCGGGGCGGCGCCGGCCTCGCCTCCGCAGCGCGCCCGGCGCGGCGCCACGGCGGGAGCACCGTCGAGGACAGCCGTCGGCACGAAGGAGATGGGCACGGGAAGAAGGGGTGCAATGCTCAGCAGCAGTCCCTGTTCCTTTTGGCCAGCGCTCGCTGTCCGCGCCGCCGCGGCCTGTGCCCATTCGAGACCGGAGGCCGCCCGCCCAACAGCGGCCGCTGTTGGTTTGGGGCAACATGTGTCGTTGGGCATTGTGCCCATTTTTTCCGTACCCATCTTGGGCGTCCAGAAGCAGGACCCCGAGCCTTACAGACTCAGCGAAGACGTGGCCTCACTGAATTAGGTCCCCGTCGATGCCTGAGAGGCAGTCGGTCTGGGCGGTTCGGCTCCACACACGTGCAGACGAGAGCCCCCTGTCCCTCCTGCTTCCGGTTTTGGCCCTCCCAGCCCGGGGCCTCCTTTGATTGCCAATCGGAGCAGGCGGCGCGTGGCAGTTCGATAACGCGCGCGCGCATGGCATGCTCCTCTCCCGCGGTCCAGTTTGAGGAATGAGACAGGCAGGATATTTTGCCATTTCAATGTCGTCTCGCGGCCCTTTTGGGGGGGGGGCCCTGCTTCGCACATCGTGCTGCGGGGTGTGGGCCCTGGGGTTCCGGGCGGCGAGGTTGCGAAGGAACAGGCGCGGCCCCTTAAGCACGCGTGGAATATGGCGGCCCTCCCTGGCGCAGAACTGTCGGACGGACTGGCCTGGGCTCAAGTGGGCGTCTCAAAGAGCAGTGTTTCTGATTCCTCCTCCTCCTCCTCCTTCTCCTCCTCCTCTCTCGGGGTCCGTGGCCTGGCCCCCAGGGGGGCAGAAAAAGCGAGGGGCCTCCAGGACGTCGCTCTCCTCCAGGACCCGTTTCCTTCGTGCGGAGTTTGGCCACGCGTCCGGGCCATGAATCAGGCGACCGCAAACATCGATCAAGGGGGCGTGGATTAGCGACGGGGTCCCGTTTCCATGGGACATCGCGGGTTTCCGCCGCCGAGCGAGGCGGCACCGCCCGCATTTTGGGGAGGGCGCCTCCCCCGATCCATGGATTTGGCGACGGCGCGCCAAATCCATGGATCGCTAATCCATGTTTGCGCGCCCCCGAATGAAGCAGGGTGCCAGCGGCCGTTCGGGACGATCCATGCACGCTTGGAGCGCTCTCGGATAGGCGCAGCCACCGGAAGGCACGCCGAGGCGGGACAATCTCTAAAAAAACCAGCGAGTCAGCATACAGCGGGCGCGGCAAACATGGAACGGGCCTGCCCGCAGGTGTCCCGCAGGTGCCGCACGGAGACTTTTCTTGCCCCCCGATGGCCCTGGGAGCTCGCAAGAGCCCTGTGGCCCAGCCTGTGGGGCCCCGCAGGGAGCTCCAGGTCCGGCGGCAGACGTGCACCGGGTCGGAAGCTGGAACATGTACACTACCAGTGGCGGGCCGTTTTTCAATCCCAGGACTTTTGGAGGGTCGGGGACGACGCTGGGGCGGTGTGGTGTACACTTTTGTCCTCGATGTCCCGGGGAAGCAATGAAACATGTATACACCAGGGTCCCGCATACACCAGGATCCGCTCCCCAGTGCAAATTTCAATGCAGGGCCGCAAAACGCGTCGGTGTATATAGAGGGTTCGACTCCTTACCTGGACTTCTCTGGAAGGCCCAGCACCCGATCCGCCATCACGGGGAGCTCGCTCAGCCTCTCGCCGGGTGAACTGCCCGCGCCGCAGGCTATACTTACCAGAGGCGGTGCGATTTCCCAGAGCCGACGACACCCAAGACCCTCCGAGCTCCAGCGCTCGGTCCTCGGCGATGCGGCCTCCTCTGGGCGGCAAGGCTTCTCGGGCTGCGCACAGGCAGCCCCGCGAGGCCCTCCGCTTGGTATCGCTCGGACGTGTGCACTTCTTCTCGGCGGGAATTACTGATCGATAGTGAGATCGATCGTCAGATGGCTCATGCGATTTCTGGTGAGATCACTTGCGAACTCGATCGTGAGATCGATAGTGAGATCGATGGTGAGATCGATAGAGAAGTGGGTAATGAGATCGATGATGAGACCGATCGATAAGAAGATCGACCAGGAACCCGGGAACCCGGGAACCTCGCCGCGATCCGAAATCGGCCCGGAACCTGGAACCGGGAACCCGGGAACCGGGAACCGGGATCGGACGTCTGCACTTTTTCTCGGTGGGGACTACTAAGGAGCATCCTGGACCATCCTGCGAATATACCACGCACGAAGCCGAAAAGAGCACAGGGAATGGACGTCCGAGCGACGGGGAGTCGGTCCGAGTTGTCCCAGCCGGCCTGCGGGCTCTCCGAGCAGTCTGGGGCGGTCTCAGCATCCCAACTCTTTCGGAAGGTTAATGGACCTCCTATACCCTGACGCGTCGATTCGCGAATCGGCCAGTTTTCGGTTCGCGAGAGGTCGTCGCGGCCGTCCTTTTAGCGGGTCCTGGTCCGTCGGCGTCGGTCCTAGGCCGTTTTCACTGAAGGGTGGCTTACTAAAGGGAGGTTTGTCCACCGCCGACTCTTTGGCGCGCCGCTGGAATCGGCGCCAGGGTGTTGAGACCGCCCCGGACTATTCGGCGGGCCTGTTGAGGCCAGCTGGGATGAAGATCGTCGGCGGATAACATGTATCCGTATCCGCGGCCTCGCGGGCTGGGCCCTTGGGCCGCGACCCCGCGGATACGCGGCGTTTTTGTCCCCGATGCCCCGCGCGGAAGAAACCCGTGCGACCGCGTATCCGCGGGCCCCGGAATGCAGACCGCGAGGGCGCGGACATGGATGCGTTCGCTGCCCTTGATACACGCGCATATATCTAGAGACAAGTGGTACATGTATATGTACAGATAACACCTGAGACAACCCAATCAGTGGATGCTTTGAACATAAATGCTATGGATCTTGAGATCGATTGTGATATCGATACTGAGATCGATAGTGGAATCGATAGTGAGTACGATCGTAAGGTCGATCGTGAGACCGAGAGTGACATCGATTCAATGAGATCGATCGTGAGATCGATCGCCAGATCGCTCATGCGATTTCTAGTGAGATCGCTTGTGAGCTCGATCGTGAGATCGGTTGTGAGATCGATGGTGAGACCGATAGAGAAGTGGGTAAGGAGATCGATGGGCAGACCGATCGATAAGAAGATCGACCAGGAGCCCGGTATCCCGGGAACCTCGCCGCCCTCCCAATTTTGCCCGGAACCCGGAACCGGGAACCCGGGAACCCGGAACCGGGAATCGTGCGACCAACATAAGCTTTCGCCACATTCTTCAGCTTCTGCGGGAGAGGACCCCTTCGGTGCAAGCACTGCTTGGGGAAGTTCTGTGAGGACCCCTTCAGTGCAAGCGCTGATTGGGGAATGTGCGCACGCGCACCTTGTCTGTGCACAGCCCGAAGCCGCATCGCCTCCGGGCGGCCTCGGCGGAGAGCCTCCGCCCCGACGCCGACCTCTCCGCCGGCCTCCGGCGCGCGCTGGCCGCCCTGGCCGAGCTCGACGCCGCGCGCGGCTGCGGGGGCGCACTGCGGGCGCAGGGGCTGGCGGAGGCGCAGCTGGCCCTGGAGGCCTTCCTCGCAGGCCGCCGCCGCGTCCCTGCCGCCCTCGGCGCCCGGCGCCCGGCGCCCGACGACGACGCCGACGCCCGAGGGCCGACGCCCACGCCCGCCCTCGCGCCTCTGACGACGCCGGCGTCGGCGCCCGACGCCCGACGCCCGACGCCCGACGCCCGACGCCCACGACGACGACGACGACGACGACGACGACGACGACGACGACGACGACGACGACGACGACGACGACGACGAAAACGACGGCGGCGGCCGTGATGTCGTCGTGGTCGTGGTCGTGGTGGTGGTCGTCGTGGTCGTCGTCGTCGTCGGCGTCTCGTCTTTTCTTCACCACCGTCCTTGGCGGGCGTCCAGGGCGGCGTACTCGGCGGCTCCACGCACGAGGCTGTCCTTCCTCGGGCTGCTCGAGTCTGTCGGCTCCCCGAGGCGTCTCCTGGCCTCGGGGTGCTGTCCCGCAGCGGCGCCGCGCGCGCGCCCTGGGCTCGGAGCGCCCCGAGTGGCCGCCAGGGGCCCGAGGAGATGTGGCCCCAGAGGCCATGCAGGGAGCACATCAGCTACTCGCAAGCATGGCCCCCTCGCCGCAGTGACCCCTGCTGCGCGTTCTTTGGAGGGGCGCGGGGCGCGGGGGGGGGGGGGAGGGCAGACCCCACGCGCGCAGGCCGCCGTCGTCGCAAGGAAACCGCAGCGATCGACCCCGCGCCTGCCGCTTCCAGTGGCGCCGAGGACGACGCCCGATGCCCGACCACCCCCGTTGCGTTTGCTTCACAGTCTCTCCGCCCTTCCCCTCTGCCATCCGCCTCTTCTCCGATTGTTGGCCTGCTCGGCCCCTCGATGTGATTTGCGATGCGAGCGCCTTCGTCTTCCATGTCTGCCGAGAGCAGTAGTGATTCTTTGACTCGTCGCCCCACAGCCACGAGCAAGCAAACTTCTCCTGTCTTTCGCCTCCCCCACCACTCTGCCTCCTCCCCCCTCTGCTCTCTGTCGCCCCCTTATCCCCTCTGCCTCCTCCCTCCTCTCCTCCCTTCGCATATGTATCATCGCATAATGTGAGTGCTACCCCGCTCTCTCTCTCTCTCTCTTTCTCTTGAGGCTGTTTTTTGCGCCCGCACGTCTTGGACATCGTGGTCTTTTACATCGGGTTTTCCGAGTTGGCTTTCGATTACCTTTTCCTTCAGAGCGTTCTCGGCTTAAAGTGGCACTCCTGCTGTAATGCTGAGCAAATTTCAGGATTGGCGCTATGCTCCGTCGTGCAGACTCGGGCTCCTGCACCTTCACTCACTACACTTCTGGATATGATTTCGATCTCGCCGTTGCCCTCCCATTCCCCTCCTCGCATTCCCCTGGTCCTCCTGTTTTCCCTGCTCCTCACACTCCTGCTGTTGCTGACCATCCTCCTCATCCCCCCTCTTCTACATCATCTCATCATCATCATCATCAGCAGCAGCATCATCATCATCATCACCATCATCAGCAGCATCAGCATCAGCATCATCATAATCATCAACATCATCCTCATCATTGTCAACATCAACATCATCATCGTGCCCAGCCGGGGAAATGGAGGCTGTTGCAATCTGTAAAGGCACGGCAGCTGTGGCTCATCCTGTCCAGGAGTGGGCTCTTCATCTTCCTCACGACCTCACAAAAAGGTATCGTGGTAATGCCTTTCTCAGTAGTCAAGGCGGGCTTCACAGACAGTCGTGGACGGGAGCCATGGCTACAGCTGCGCGGTTAGACAGTATCTCTCTTGTGTCACTCCCTCAGGTCACAACTCACCTGCTTCAGGCAAGTGATGGATTCTTACCGGTCTACTCAGGCGGCTGCTTGCGAGCAAGGCTCGCCGTGCTGTTCCAGAGTGGTCTGCGCCTCGCGATCTCTGGATCCTGGCTCTTGCCTCGCCGCTGTTTGTGGAGGAGTGACCCAGCATGCGTGCAGGCGCGTTCGTAGACAGGTTCAAACCTTTTCTCATTGCGATCTGAGGTTCTCGTAACATCCTGGACCTCTGGAACGTCAGCAAAGGGTTTCGCGAATGCAACCGCGCTGGCATTATCATCTTCTGGACCCCGTAGGCAAATCCATTGCCGGGGCTGCCTGGAAGTGCAGAGTAGCTGATCCTCCAGCATTAGCTCGTGCGGTGGCAGCCCTGAGAACAGGCGACGCCTATGAAGATCAAGCGTCCAGTTTCCTTCGGCATTGCCTACAGCTCCTACCTATCGGGTGGGGAGGTCTCGCTTCCCACGCAGCAGTTGCACGATCAATTCGAACGGTTTGTTCAGTCTTCTGGTCGTTTGCTGTTTATGGGCTTCGCGAATGTCAAAGGACATGATGATACCATGTCGAATGCACAGGTGCGACCGGTCCTGGCGTTGCAGACGGCAGAGAATTCACTGTTCTAGCCCAGGCTGGCCTGGATACAGCAAATCGCACACCGTCATCATGCCGACGTTGCTCTTCTAGCTGCGCTCACTCGAGGCTTCAGTGACGGGCATCAGCGAAATACGTCGAGGGGCAGACTTAGATACCATGCGAGCCCGTGGTCCAAGCTCTGGGGGAATTGTTCTTCTATCTCGGGATGTGTCAAACCTCGTGTTCGTGACATCCATGGGAATCGTGGGCGGTTCGGTCTGTTCGAGTCGGGCTCGCGTTTGGTGTGACCTCCTCGTGATCTACGGTGGCGCAGCGCGGCAGTGCCTGAACCTCATGCTGGTATTAAGGGCGGCCCTGAATCATATGTGTGTGATCTGGTGGAGCCCGAGGGTGGTCGGTGCCAATATATATATATATATATATATATACAAGACTGCATTGGCGCTTCGCGCCATGCACCTTGGTCCTTCGAGTCGAGCATAAATGGCTGTTCGCCTCATCCATGTTGGCCTTGAAGTGCGGCAAGCTCATTTAGGATTGCGTTTGGAACTGAATTTTGAAGCGGCCCCTGCAACGTGGCGGCGAGAGAGCGGAGGCCCCGAAAGAATAGAAAATCACAGGAAAACCTGAAGTGTCGAGCTGCGAACCGTGATCTGCGCCTTCCTCTCTCGACTCTTGCCCTGCGAACCTCGAGCCTCAAACGTCGACGTGCGATCTTCTCGGGAAGTGCACCGAATCCCAAGTTCACAACGGATTTCCCGAATATTGTTGCGACGCACACATGTGTGCTGTCTCTCGTTACCGGGAATCGAGTCTGGGGCCGGCAGCAGGAGGTGTCAGGGGGAGGAAGTCTGTTTCTGCCCCAGCGCGCTTGCGTTCCGAATTAAGTGGTCGGCCGTCAGGCGCCGCCAGCAGCAGTGGCCTCGTCGACCTCGTGCTCGTCGCCGGCTGCCACGTTCTCCCAGTCACTCCCGGCCTCTGCGTCCTCTTCTGCTGCAGCGCCCCCGAGCCGAGCCAGCAATTGCGACTCTTCGCAAAAGCGATATATATATATATTATATATATATAATATTTATATATATATATATATATATGTCACTCTTCCCATCAATCGAAAGTCCGCCAAACTCATCATCATAATCGTGATGCATGAAGGCAAGCGGCTGTTTGTAATCAACCTTCTTGGTGTGGCATTTTTGCCCGCGGGCATAGGTGCGGTCCGTCGGCATATGGAGCCTCGAGGTGAGAATAACCCACCGAACTGCCTTGAGAGAGGCGGCTCAGCTATCTCAGGGCTCTCTACATAGCAGGCGCCAGAGAACCTCACTTGGCTGTTCGACTGTATATGTTTTCCATGTTCTCCATTGCCTGGGTTGCACGCCCATTCTCGTGCACATGTGTCTGACGGTGATGTCTTGCTCTTCGGGACTGCACCGAAGATGGACCAACTGCTGGCGGCCAAGTCCGATGTGCCCGCGGCCGAACAGAGCGGCACTGGGTTCGCCGAACATGGATCAGTGCATCCAGGACCTCGCCATCAACATTGCCAACAGCGTGGTCGGCCTCGGCGCATCCAGCAGGCGGATGCAAGGTGCACTGGCGCAGGTGGCGATCGTGGACGAGCAGCGCCCGCGCTTGGAGCCGATGAGGAAGGGCACCAAGCAGTACGAGAACGGGAAAAAGGCCGCCGCCAGTCCAGAGGAGATCGCCGCAGTCATCCCAGCTCACGTTCGGGCGAGCATCGAGCTCGTGAGCGCCGTGAAGGAGCCAACCCATCCGTGCCCAGACCGCGGCAGCAGGCCGCGAGCGCGTGCCACGCGCTGCAGATGGGCGCCGAGGTCACTCGCGGACAGGTGGTGGTCTTGCTTGCAGAAGAAGGTGTCGGTGGAACGCGCGGGGCGGCGAGGGTCGGCACAGGATCGAGCTCGTGGCTGTCACAGAGCCCTGCCCCGTGGCGGCGGAGATCGGGCCAACCATCGCGTGTTGTAGCCAGGGGTCGAGATCACAAGGCGGGGCGCCGCCCCGGAGTCCCGGCAGCTGCAGAGTCGTGCAGGGCCTGGTGAGGCTGGGGGAGTTCCAGGAGACTGGACAGTAAAGCGCACGTACGCGCTGAGAGTGGAGAGGGTCTTCTTCAGGGTCGTTTCAGTGGCGGCTCGTCTTCGGCAGCTTTCCCGAGCGCAGCCATGTCTCGGAGGGGGGCAAACACACACACACACTATCGACTGCGGGTGCCGCGAGTGTTTGCGGAGGCACCTGAGGCGCGGCCGGCGTTCTTGCAGCAGTGGGCGATATCCAGGCGTTTGGGTGCGCCTTGATGGCCAGTGGGGGGGAGGCCTTCTTGGCTCCAACGCCTTCCCAGTGCCAGTACGGGGGGCCAGTGCTCCGTGGCCAGCAGTACCTTTCGGCAGCACTTGCGTCACAAGGAGTGCGCAGAGCGCCTCCCGTGGGATCGGGAGGGCCAGGCAGTTTCATCCTTGCGGCCGCGACTTAAGTGACCTCAGAGAAACCCTGCAGCATCTTTCATTGCCAGTTGTTGACATTCAGGAAGTTTCATCGGGCCAGAATGAATGTCATCACCAACACCATTATCAACATACTTCTCTGTCTCCGTGCTCATCCGCCACATCCCCGTCCTCTTCCGACAATGTACAAAGCCCCCCCCACGTTTGTTTGCGCATCACCTGGTGGGGTCATTTGGAGGATCCATGTCATCTGGGACGCCACAGTCGGCGGATGCAAACGAAGTCCGCGCAATGGGAAGGGATGGGTGGGATGGGTAGGACAGGATAGCAGATGTGGTGCGAGCGCATGTAGTTTGCCTCCCCCTTCTTCCCCTCCTCCCCCGATGATCGCAGCGACGCGGGCGACGCCGACGACGACGATGCCCCGACGCCGACGCCCCTGCTGCCGCCGCGTCCGACGTCGCCGACGCCGCGACGAGCGACGCCGACCCCGCCCCTCCCGACGCCGACGACGCCGGACGAAAACGACGCCACCGCCGACGACGGCGCCGCGACGCACGACGACGCCCGACGACCCTGCCGACGGCCGACGCCGACGGCGACGACGACGCGGCCGAACACGGCGCCCTCGGACGCCACACGGCGGCGAAGACGCCGGCGGCGGTGGCGCCCTGACAGGCGCCGGGGCGCAGCCGCGCGCGCGGGCGGCGGAGGCCGGCGGC